ATAACTACATTACAACATATGTAACTACACTACAACATATATAACTACATTACAAATATGTAACTACATTATGCTTGCATGCTTGCACAATAAATACACTACAAAATAACTGTTTCCATGTGAATGTTTTATTCTCCTATAATGCTATACTGTTACCCATCAACCATTCCTACTACCAATTCCCCAATAATGCATTGTTCCTGCCCACAAACAATCCTGCCACCAATTCCCCATAATTCCTTGTTCCTGCCCACCAATCCTTCCTGCTCACCATATCCCATCCCTTTCAGCTCATCAACCTTATTTACTAGTCTCCAAAGTTTTCCACAAACCCCATTTCTTCCCCCTGATTACAAAACTTATAACTCAATGATACAGCTATACTATTAATGACCAAAGAAAGCATACCAAATACCACTTAGTGTATATATCATTATTAGCAAGCCAAGCAGTGGCAATGGCGTGTGAACACAACCATTAAAATCTCTTTTTATCCACTTATATAGGGCATGTGACTATTACAAACAACATCCTTATTAACAAAGTAGCGTTAATTAGTGACAAGATGAATGCAGTAAGAATCCTGGCTCAAGAAGTTCTCCTAAAAGCTTTCTGCAACCTGGGGCAGATTCTCTTTTTAAGAGATGACCTTGCAATGCACTATACATTCATCATTAGCAATGTACAAGTGACTAGCAGCAGTATTTTCCATTTGTAGAGAGAAAATGTTATAATTCATTACATGTCTTTACATTCACGCACTTATGATACATGGAATGAAAACATTCAAGGCATTTAGTGGTCTAGTCAAGCTTGTAAGAACAGCTGCCACTTGAAAAACAAATAGTTAATTTTTTAAAGGACGAAATCGACTGACTGGTGCTAAGATTGGTTTGAAGAGTACAAGTTTACTATATGAAATCTTGAAGGCACAAACATATTCATTTTTATGCAGCCACTAGCCAAGCCCATCCCAACTTCTTGTATTCAGAGTGTAATATAAAAGTTTTGCATAGTTTGTAACCTCCCCCCATTTGCCAATCGGGTGCTTAAATATATAAATTTGAAATCAGAAGCACTCTGCACTATTTATGGCATCACAGACCACTCACTGCATTCACTCACCAATCACAGACCACTCAATACATTCACTCACCAATCGTAGACCACTCACTACATTCACTAACCAATCGCAGACCAGTCACTGCATTCACTCAACAATCACAGACCAGTCAGTATATTCCCTCACCAATTGCAGACCAGTCACTACATTCACTCACCAATCACAGACCACTCAATACATTCACTCACCAATCGTAGACCACTCACTACATTCACTAACCAATCACAGACCACTCACTACATTCACTAATCAATCACAGACCACTCACTACATTCACTAACCATTCACAGAACACTCACTACATTCACTCACCAATCACAGACCACTCACTACATTCACTCACCAATCGTAGACCACTCACTACATTCACTCACCAATCGTAGACCACTCACTACATTCACTCACCAATCGTAGACCACTCACTACATTCACTCACCAATCGTAGACCACTCACTACATTCACTAACCAATCACAGACCACTCACTACATTCACTAATCAATCACAGACCACTCACTACATTCACTAACCAATCACAGAACACTCACTTACATTCACCCACCAATCACAGACCACTCACTACATTCATTCACCAATCACAGACCACTCACCACATTTACTCACCAATCACAGACCACTCACCAATCACAGACCACTCACCACATTCACTCACCAATCACAGACCACTCACTACATTCACTCACCAATCACAGACCACTCACCAATCACAGACCACTCAATACATTCATTCACCAATCGTAGACCACTCACTACATTCACGAACCAATCACAGACCACTCACTACATTCACTAATCAATCACAGACCACTCACTACATTCACTAACCATTCACAGAACACT